GCTCCTCATCGGACATGTACGTCGGGATTTGATTATACCTCGAGTAGGCATCCATGAAGCTTAATAACTTGTGCCTGGAAGTAGCATCAACGAGCTGATTGATTCTGGGTAAAGGGAAACTGTCATTCGAACAAGCTTTGTTGAGATTTGTGAAATTAATACATGTTCACCATTTGCCATTGGGTTTCTTCACCAAAACAGGATTGACGACCCAACTTGGATAATGAGCCTCTCGAATAAACCCGATTGAGAGGAGCTTATCCACCTCAACCTTAAGAGCAACATAACGCTTTGGGTCCATAGCTCTTCTTTTCTAGCGAACTGGCTTGATCTCACTGTCGATGTTGAGTGCATGACATATTACATTCGGGCTGATCCCAATCATGTCAGCATAAGACGACACAAAAACATCTATATTCTGCCCGAGGAAGCTCGTTAGGTCGGTAGCGAATTGAATGCTAAGATTGTTTTCGATTCTTAATACACGAATCAACTCATTCTGGTTGACTAATCCTCAAATAGAGTCTCAAAAAGTCCACTGTGGGAATACTCCTCCTAAACACGAAGATCTATGTTGTCTTTCACTTGACCTAATTGTGGTTCGATCCTACTAATCGCCATAGCCTGCTCGAGAACGCCTATTGGCTTCCCTTTCCTTTTGCATGCTATTTACACTACTTTTACATAGCAGTCGTGAGATTCACGCTGAGATCCTTTGAACTTTCTACACCCCATCTGAGTGGGAAATTTTATCTTCAGATGATAGATGAAGGTGACAGCTTTGAAGTTCTGGAGTAGAGGTCATCCCAATATGCCATTGAAAGCGGACAGACAATCTACCACTAGAAATTCTATCATTTTGGTCACTTCGTGGGTCTCACCCAAAGTGACAGGAAGTGCAATCGTTCCTTTAGGAATCAGGTTGTCCCCTGTAAAGCCATAGAGGGGGATAAAAGCGGGCTTCAGATATGCCTCTTCCAATTACATTTCCTTGAATGCTCACTGAAATAGGTTGTTCACGGCGCTCCCATTATCCACCAACATTCTGTGGACTTTGCACTGACCTATATTAGTCACAATGAAGAGTGCGCGATTAAGAGTGCATCCTCATGAGGGTGATGCAATCGTACCACATCTTTCTCTGAGAAGGTAATCTCCTCCTCCCTTTGCACCTTAGTAGGTCGCTATGCCATGTTTAATACACTCACGGGGTCATGGCAAGCTTCCCGAGCGTACTTCCCCTAAGCACCTCGAGAATTCTTCGAAAGGTGCGACCTTTCAAATATAATTCCGACGAAATGGAGGCCCTTGCAACAACGATGCTTCTTCCCATCGTCCTCTTGATCATTATCCCGAATGGGAGTCGAACCATCAACATACTTCTTGAACTGTCCTTTTTTAATGAGGTTTTCAATAGCCTGCTTAAGAGCTTGGCATTCATCAGTATGGTGCCCATTGTTCTAATGATAAAGACAATACCTTCTTGTTGTTTCTTATAGAAGGGGGATTTTTCATGGGCTTTAGCTCTCCAAGCAGATTAGCTTCTTCTGATTTATCCAAAATAGTTGATACTGATGTGTTCAATGCAGTGTACTGATTCTTGTTGCGATCATGACGAGGAACTTGGGCATAAGATTTCTTAGGCTCAAACTGCTGATTCTTTCCCTTTCCCTGATTGTCATTAGCTCATTTGTGATCAGTCCTTCTACTACTCTCTCCCCGGTTTTCCTCCCTCCGACTATGAGTGCTGGTCGATGGACCGGGGTCGTGGAGATTCAAAGCAACCACTAAATTTTTTCAATTCTAAGATATTTTTCAATGAAATTATCGAAGCGGTGAGGGAAATATCATCATCAGATTGCAGTTTCTTCCACAAGTCGGTTTGCAGGCAAACTCCCGCAATAATAAGAGTTCGAACTGAATCTTCAAGTGTATTAGCCATCTTGTTCAACTCCTTGTGGAACCTGTCGTTATAGGATTGGAGGGATTCATTCATTTCTTGTCGTATGTTGCTCAGATTGCTCAACAGCATTGAGAACTTCCTATTAGCCTAGAAGTGTCTAAAAAACAACAAACTCATCTGCTGTCATGAGTTGATAGATCCTGGTGGAAGCAATCTAAACCAGTGCTTAGCATGGGCTGTTAAAGTCATTGATAAGCAGTGACATTTCGCCAAGTTAGAAACTTGGTAAAGCTCCATGAGGTCTTTAAACTCATAGAAATGATCCTGCAGATAAAAAAATGCTTGCATATCAGGCATTCTAAACCTTGACAGGAGAGGAGCGGTCAACATTGTTGGAGAAAAGGGAGACGCCTTAGCAACCTGCCCTCGCTCATTCTGCTAAGCTCTAAGCTAATCCAAAACTCGCTGTAACTCCTCAATCTGAGGAAGCGGAGCCACCTGAGGATCACTTTCTGCAATGTGAGTTCGCTCACCATGATTGCGATTGAGGAAAGACTGCATATCGGACTCTTCTTTGCCTCAGTCGGAACCTCCGGCATACCTTGACACATGCTGGCTAGAGCCATGTGAAGGCATTAAATGGCTTCGGGAGTTATCTTGACCTCCGCGGTGGTCAAAACCGACCAGTGTTTAGTGGGTATTTCCCTCGCGGTGATGGTCAGAACCATCATTCCGACGATAGTGGGAATCTCCATGTCTTGCACTCTTGTGGGGGTGCCCATGCGATGTGGCGTGAGACGACTTATGATGTGACATACCTCCAAGTCGTAAAGCCACAGGTATTCTACCTGCCTCACGACCGATATTCACTGGCCCCTTCGAGCCTCTTGCCCATTGTGAGCCACCTGCTTTTCATTATTTTTATGCACTGTAGTGCGCATGGTATGAGTTTTCGTCCATTTTCACGCTTTAGCGCGACCTATAGGCATTTTTGGAGGTAGTACCGTCTTGTCAGAATTGGGCAGTACGACCTGATCCAAATGATCTAACCTTAAGTTAACCATTTAGAGAGTATTATTGAACCTCTCCAAGTAATTCATCACAGCTGGATCGAGCTGAGAGGTCGAGGGAATGTCTGCCGCGGTACCTTGAGGAATTGGAGGCACTTCGGGAGAGTAACATCCTGTACCTAGGGGATTTCCTTGTTGTTTGTGCTAGTTCACTCGGTTTCAAAACCACAAGCCATTTGTTCACAAGTAGAATTGATTGATCAGAGATTTTGAATGAAGAGTGGGTATAGAATCAGACCCTCCTTCTAGCGCCAAACTGTTGATGCGTGATTTTGACACTAACGACTCGCACGTGCAAAGTGCTAAGGCATTCTTAGAAATTACATGTGAATGATTATAATTAGATACAAAGACTGAATAATAAATGAGAGATATAATTTTTAAAGTGGTTCAAATGCTTAAAGCGAATCATATGTCCACTGTTTCTTTTATATGCAAGAGATTACAAGAGGTTGCGTATAGTGAACAACGAATAGAGGTACAATAACTGAGTATTCAGAGAGAATATCAAGTCAGTCTCTTTCCCGTAGGTTATCTTTGTTTTGAAAATAAAGATTACAATCAGAATGAAAGTTCAGTTTCAGAATCCCGAAAATGAGAGGGGGAGTCCTCTATTTATAGTAGAGGAATTCAAGGTAATGATTACAATTCTGCAAGTGGGTGAGTACCGTGCAAGTCCTTCTTTACCTCCCATTGACTGATAACTTAAGAAATATCCTCAAATTATCTGAGCCTTGGACAGGTGTGCGGTCCTCATACACTCATAGACGAAACCTGAATCTGCTAAGTTGGTGACAACTATATTCTTTTTGTTATGGAGCAACGTGGCAGTTCCTGGACAGCGCAAAACTTTCTTGAACTCTGATTGGTGCTTGTTAACATAGACTAACGTGAGCCTGATTTTTTAGGCATAACAAACTGCTGCACCATGTTAAGTTTAATTGACAATGCAAATGATTACATAGTTTGGGAAGGCAATTGATGTTGTCAAGAAATTAATTACAGACTTACAATACTTGTTTATTAACGGGACAGTACAGGGTGCGTTTGACTTATTATTTTTATCCATATTCCCAATCCTATTCTTCAAATGTTGTTTGACACATTATTCCCAAAATATTAGTCTATTTTTTTAATTACTTTTAGACCCCATAAGTTTATTAATTTCATTATATACCCCCCAAAAAAAAAAGTTTAAAAACTAACAAAAACACCCCCACCCACCAATACTTGCCAGATTCAGGCAACCACCGCTGGTGATAGCCGAAATCTGTCACAAGAATCACACTACCACTAGAAATGGCTGGTAATGGCCAAAACCGGCCTTTTTCAGCCAGATCGTCAGCGACGACCATATCTTTGGTCGTCGCTAATGGCCAAAGATGGCCTTTTCCGGCCGTTGAAGACCACATCCGGCCTTTTCTGACCAGATCCGTGGTGGATATGGCCGGAAAAGGCCATATCGATTGAATACCTGCCAGATTCGACTGGTATGTGTGATTATCCAATTTTTCGGCCAGATTCCAACAGTGGTGACCGGAATTTGGCACTGCGGGTGATAGTGGTATTTTTGTCAGTTTATAATATTTTAATATATTGGGGTGTTTATTAAATTAGCAAACCTTGAAAGTTTTTTCATAAATTTTTAAATTTTATCTCGTAATACTCTCCTATCTAACTATCCAATACTATCCTTAAAATCTTATCTAAAATAATAAACCAAACTCAGTCAGTGTTACAGTATTAGTAATTAGTATTAGTCAGATAATTAATTTTATGGGTTGTCGTTATTAATTTCGACTGCGAGACTGACTGCGTTACATAAAATATTTCATTTTCCGAAGCGTTCACAAAGCTCCAAAAAGTGCATCGCCGTTGCACCAAACCCCATATTCAACAACGAAAGAATTGCAATAAAATTATCAAAAAGCAGAAGTTCTCATGCAAACATCAACTTCTATCTTTCAACCAGCTGTGTTCCCATTTTCCACGTGTAAACCACCACCTCCTCCATAAAAATACACACCTCAATATATCACCTCCATCTCTTTCTCTCACTCATAATCAGAAACATCAAACATCAAACATCCTCAATGGCTGACCACCGCCAAACGCACCAGCGTCACCCCCACCAGCAGCAGTACCACCCAAATGAAGCCTTCAAAGGCATGCTTCCTGAAAGGGCTCCATCAAAATCACAATTTCTTACACTTGTCACTCTTCTTCCGGTCGGTGGCACTCTTCTCCTCCTTTCTGGACTGACCCTGGCCGGAACACTCATCGGCCTTGCTATCACCACCCCGCTTTTTGTCATCTTCAGCCCGGTTTTGGTCCCTGCAGCTCTCGTCATTGGCTTGGCTATCACTGGTTTCTTGACGTCAGGAGCCTTTGGAATCACCGCTCTCTCTGCCTTATCTTGGATGGCCAATTCTCTTCGGAGAATGCGAGTTCCCGAACAGATGGACCATCTGAAGCGGCTCGCGCAGGAGACTGCGGGCCAAGTAGGCCCAAAAACTAGAGAAATGGCCCAGACAGTCCAAGCCAAGGCCCAGGAAAGTGGAAGGGAAGCTAAGGATCATAAGGAAGGAGTGAAAACTGGAAGGGAAAGGGATTCTAACAAGGATAACAAGGAGTGAACACATAAGCTTGAGGTTACAAAATAGTGTGCAAGGCCTTGAGGGCCAGTGGGCCGCATCGGGTCATTGTCTTTTAATGTTGTTTTAGAGTATTAAGTTTGTAATGCTAGTGTGACTTTGTGGCAAAAACTGTACTAAGGTTGCCGTTGAATGCAACGGTGTTCTTTCTTTACTGTTTGTTTATATGCATAAGTTGTTCTCTCTTTGTGTAAGATCACTTACTTTCTTAATAAATTTCTGTTACAAGTACATAATATTGGTGAATTGATGCCAATATATCATACAGGTTTTGAAGTTCAACACTGGTCACTGCAGATATTGCAGAAAATGGGTGTTGGTCTTGACTGGACTCGCAAAATGGATGAGAATGAGATTAGGCAATTCAATAGAAGTGGTGACCGCAACAGAGAATTATATTATGAAAGCCATTAAAGGAGAGCAGCAATTTCCAGGAATTTTGCAACGCTCAAGAAAAGATTGGGAGCTTTCATAGTCAGTAAGATGTGAGTAGCAAGAGGTAACTGAACCCCTGATGTTAAACTTACTACATAAATGCTCCCTCTTCATTTTCGTTCAACAATGTGACTATTGCATAAACTGGAGAAAACTAAACAGTTCACTCCCAAGAATGGATTATCTTTTCACCCACATGACACATCTTACCAGATAATGAAATTCCAGTAATAGAGAAACAATGCCTGAACCTGACGCTGATCCTCTTACATTTCCCATTTTTATGTATTTGGTTGGATTTTTCTCGGCATCTGACGACGAAATCCTTTATTTTAAAAAATGTTTTTGTTTTTTTGGGGGAAAAGAGGAAAGGATGGAATGTGCTAATAAAATTCCATGAGCATCCAGACACTGGCCTCCATACTGAACGAGAGCATGAAGAAGACAAGGAGAAGAGTAAGAAGTTTATGTCAGCATATAAAAGGAAGTTGAATTCAAAATTGGCTGATTAGCAACATAAAATAAGGCAACATGCCGCCTTGGAAAGGGACTTTAGTTTATTGTACTAGGAATGAGAAAGAACAAGCAGCAACAACAAGAAGTGTTGTCCATTTAACACAATTTGTTTGAAAGCATTCCTTTCAACATATTTGGCAGAATAAGCTAAAATATTTTATCACTTTGACATAGTTGCAATCTTACCAAAATAACAAAAATGTAACAGCAAAAACTGAACCGAAGACATATTATCCATCACATATCTCAGCAAATTATTCAAATTTCCATCAGAGAGATGGCTTCCTCAAACCACCAACATTACGTCTTTCTTCTCATCCCACTCTTGATCACTGTCTTTAGAAGTGTTGTCTCCTCTAATGTCTTCATCAAATCAGCAATATACCCTTTTGACTGCTCTAATCACATTCAGACGTGTAATTCTTTTGCATATCACATCTCTAGAGGCTACTCAATTGAACAAATAGCCTCCTTCTACTCAGTGAACACATCTGATATTACCCCCATATCCCGTGACCTCAAACAAGATTATATTGTATCGGTTCCCTGTAGTTGCAAAGATGTAAATGGCACCCGTGGATACTTCTATGACATTATTTATGAAGTGCAATCAGGTGACACATTTTTTAATGTCTCTGGTGAGTTTTATAGTGGTCAAGCTTGGGAGGTTGCACGAGTAGAGCAGCTGTTTGTTACTGGAGATAGGATAACAATTCACCTTGTATGTGGATGTGTTGAAGTGGAATCTCAAGAGGTGGTGACATATACAGTTCAAGAGCATGATACTTTATCAGAGATTGCTGAACTTCTATCAGCTGAGATCAGTGGGATTGAGAAATTAAATGACAGATTGACTCAGGATCCAAGTTTTATAGATGTTGGATGGGTGCTATTTGTGCCGAGACAGAAAAGAGGATTTCGAGCCCGCAGGCGAGGTTAGTCATTCTTCTTGATTTAGCGAATTACTATTCTTAAATGCAATCTAAACTTATCTTCAAATATCTGCTAATTTTACCTCAGCTTAAAGATAAAAACTGTTCTGATGTACAAGGAAACTAACTTTTTTCTCATTCATCAAGCTAGGAAAAGGACACAGATTGATAATAATTGTAAGCCTACTGTCAGCAGCCACTTTGTTTTCAGTATGCGCATTGATTCTATTCTTTCTAAGAAGAAACAGAAACCTTGTAAGCAGAGAAGAAGATCCAAAAGCTGGTAGTAAAATTCTAAGTGCAAGGAAAACCTCCTTGCAGCAGCGCCTTCATGAACAAGACATTGAAGGTCAGATAAGCGTCAACTCGGTTTGAACATTTAATAACTCAGATGAATTTTAGACATAGGTTAAAGTGTACAAGAAATCTGGAAGAAACCCAAAATAATCTGCTAAAAACAAAAAGACTAGGCAACTTAATTTAGAGGTCTTTATATTTGTCCGGTCTTTTAAACAGTTCATCATTAGTTTAATCACGACCAAAACCCATGAAATCAGATAATTAGGAGACATAAATTTAGAATGAATTAAATTAAGCTAATGATAGCTCATTTGAAGCAAATCCTGCTTGATGCAGCGACCTTTGATTCTGAAAGACCAGTTATATATAGTGTGGAGGAGATCGAGGAAGCCACATGTAACTTTGACGACAGCATGAAAATTGGAGAAGGTGGATATGGTAGTGTATATGTTGGTACTTTAAAAGAACAGGTATGGTAGTTCTCCCTAATTTAAGTTCATTTTATGCTTTAACCAAACTGAATTTTCATCAGTTCAAACTTAAGTGTGAGACCTTGGATGAATGTAACAGGAAAGTAGCAATTAAGAAAATGAAATCTAGCAGGTCAAAGGAATTTATCTCAGAGCTTAAAGTATTGTGCAAGATACATCACATAAATGTGGTAAGAAATAATCTCAAACAATGTACCTGCATAAGTGAAATAAGGTATTGTAATCCTACTGACCAAGCTTATTAATTAGGTGGAGCTGCTAGGATATGCAAGCAGCGACAACCACTTCTATTTGATATATGAGTATGTTCAGCACGGATCACTCAACGAACATCTTCATGACCCCCTATTGAAAGGTATGTCTACAATTGATTAAATGAGAAGCAGTGCATCTTGAAACATGTTTTTTTAGCTGAGTGAGTGCTGCATATTCAGTTAGTAAGCTTATGAACATACTAGTAGATTATTCCTCAAAGAAGAAGGGGAGAAAGAACAATAACGCTCAATATTACAGGAGGATAGTTTATTCCTCATTACTTCTTACACAAGCAATTTTTATCAGGTCGATCGCCCCTTTCATGGATTGCAAGAGTCCATATTGCAGTTGATGCTGCAAGGGGGATTGAATATATTCATGATCACACAAAAGCACGGTATGTGCACCGTGATATAAAAACAACATTCTACTTGATCAGGGACACAGAGCAAAGGTACTTTTTTAAATTAACCAATCAATGGTAGGAGTGAGTGTGTGCGTGCCTACAACTGCTTCAATTCTATATGTATTCTCTGCTCTTTCATATACTTCCAGTCACATAAAGCGTTCCTGGAATCAAATTAGCTTGAGGCTGTTTTCATAGGTAGCAGATTTTGGACTGGCAAGGCTAGTAGAAAGATCAAATGAAGAAGATTTTGTAGCAACACGACTCGTTGGAACGCCAGGTTATATCGCTCCTGAGTAAGTTCTAAGCTCTTTTTCACTATTCTTGTAAATAAAGTAAATTAACCATTATATGAAGTTAAAGAGCAGAATTAAACCAGCACATGCCTATATTCTTATGTTATTTATGATAGTAATCTTACCACCACCTGCTCTTTGCAAGATCCGCGCGTGAGCTACAAATGACATCCAAAACTGATGTGTTTGCATTCGGAGTAGTTCTAGCAGAGCTTGTAACTGGTCAGTGTGCGCTTGCTCGTGACAAGAAGGAACCAAACAAATTGAAGTCATTGATCTCAGTTGTAAGTTAACATTAGAACAATCTCATCATTATTTGCTCTATAATGCAGAATTGTGACTAAAACCTAGCTAAACATGGCAATTTACCATCCTAGTGTTCTGGAGCCTAATTCAAGCCAATCACTGTAACTACAATTTACAATTAGATTAATGAATACGCCTGAGATTTGATTGGTCATGTGTAATTTCCCTAACATTGTTCTAATTTTGTGACTAAAACATGATTAGATAAAAACAATATTCCGACATCAAGACTCAGAAGCTGCATTGGAAGCCGATGTAGATCCTAATCTAAGTGGAAGCTATCCCATGGAGCAAGTCTACAAGGTTAGTTAATAATGCACCAATACCTATAAATAGATTTCTATAAGCCCTTGATCTAACTTCTTACCTACTACAGATGGCAGAATTATCTGAAAATTGTTTGAGTGAAGAAGCAGCAGACAGACCAGAAATGCGAGAAATTGTACAAACACTATCCCAAATCTTGATGTCCTCAGTAGAATGGGAAGCCTCCCTTAGTGGAGCCAGCCAGGTTTTCACAGGCTTGTAAAATGGAAGATAGTAAACAATGATTAACTCGTCAACTTCCCTTATTTAAAAATAAAAAAATAATAAACTAACAAAAAAAAAACAAAAAAAGTAACAAAAAAAAAAAATAAAAAAAAAAAAAATAAAAAAAAAAAAAAAAAAAGAAAAAAAAAAAGAAAGAAAAAAAAAAAAATAAAAAAAAACAAAGAAAAAAAATATCAATAAATAAAAAAAATGAAAGAATATTTAAAAAAAAAAAAAAAAAAATAAAAATAATGTATTTGTACTCTACCAAAAAAAAAAAAAAGGCACTGTCTGTGTTTTGGATCAGTTCGCGGCTAGTTTGCAGGAAAAATATCCCGGATTGCCTCCAAGATATGCCTAGTTCGTGGCCAAAGAAACCCAAGGTGATTGGGAAAAAGCGGAAAAACTCTTTATGAAAGGTGTCAAGGAAGAAGACTTTGTTTCTAAAGTGGATGGAAAACGGAAGGTTGATATTCCGGAAATTTCTACCTCAGATGCTGAACGAATCAGCAGGTATTATGAGGAAGAAATGAAGAAACAAAGGAAAGGAGAAGAAACTGGAGGATTTAAAATTACTTCAGGTCCTAAAAAGGCAGAGCTTAATGAGCTAATCTCGAGACTCAGGGAATCCGAGTTTAAAGATGATCCCCTTGAAGGAATTCGTAGTCCTTTAAATTCTTTCAAAGGATTTCTTAAAGAAATCTCCAAACCCGAATACAAACCTACTTATCCTACAAAGGTAAGGTAGTTTGTACCTACGGGAATACCTAGAATGGTGGAGATACCGTCTATCGGAAGTTTCCTAAACATCGATTGTGTTACAAATGTAACGGATGCAATCGAAGCATGGGAAATTGTTAACTGGGTTCATATACAAAATAAGAACTTTGGACTCAGTGATACTTTCAGGTTTTTAAGATCCACACTGTAGGGAGCTACAGGAAGCTTTTGGAGAAGTCTAGAAGCTGGTACGGGTCTGTTAGATACTGTCAGAGACTTGAAAAATAGAGAGGCTATCTTTGCACTCTTCAAGGATATGCTCTGTAGAGAATTTTCTGGGATAACAATTACCAGTAGGAATCTCGCAGAGGTAGTTGCCTTAGAAGCTTTGACAAAGCTTAGGCTTTGTGACATGTGTCTGTTTGAAAATTTCGTCTGTAAGTATAGACGATATTTTTATCAGTTGCCTGGTGGTACATAGAAAGTCATGAAGAATACTTTCTTTCCTAAGCTTCCCCAAGGATGGGATAAGGCAGCAAACGAGGCGTTTAAGCTTCTACTTGAAAAGAATCAGGTTGTTGATTCTTTGGGAGGAAGAATAGAAGCTGTTAGACAACTCGTGAGGACAAGATGTTTGAACGCCAAGCTAAATAAAGACGTTAAAAGACTTGAGTTCGACGAATCTTGTTGTCAAAACTTTGATGGAGTGCCAAGACAGTATGGCTGTGAGTCGAGGGGTTCAACTAAACATCAAGGTTGGAAAAACCATATGAAACGAAAAGGATCGTTCGATAAAAGGAATTTTAGGCCGAAATGTTTTCGCAATATGGTAGAACGACCTGTTACTAATAAACGGAATCTTCCGGATCATGTAAGGTTTATTAGGCCAACAAGGAAAGGTAGACTTAACTCTAAGGAACGCGGAGCGCGTAAGTTTTGTGCTACCTGGTCATCTGGCAAAAACGCAAAAGATTGTAATTGTTGCTGGATTTGTGGTGACAAAAGTCATTTTGCGGATAAATGCCCTCAGAAGGGAAAGAAGAAGGCAATGGTAAGATTTTTGGAAATCAACGCGGAAAACCAAACTTCTGAATTTGAGCCAGTTTGGGGATACGAAATTGATTATGATGATGAAGTTTATGAATTAATTTCGGATTACTCTGATGATTCAGATTCTTCAGAGGATGACTCAAAAGATATGACTTTTGAGGAACAATCTTCAAATCTTCAACGCGTAGGTATATTCATGCAACGGACTAGTAATCTTAATGAAAATCCTAGGAATAGCGGTATTGGTGATGAGGATGATCTTACCCCAATTAGAAATGAGGATGCAAACCCTAACTCGGTAATTAGTTCATCATCTAATTACGAGGATCATTCGGGTAACTCGGATCATTGGGTAATTCCGAGGTTAACACCTAGAGAAGTTTTCGAGAAACGCTCTAAGTGGTTATTCAAAGCAGAAGGCTTGGAAGATGTGCACGAAAAACTTGTTCGTGTAGCTTTGTCTCAGTCTCGAGAATGTGAATTAATACTCTCGAATGATGAGTGGCTACAGAAGGTTAGAAGTCTTGCCAAACAGGCAAATGGCAAGTATAATTATGTACAACTTGGTGCTGTACAAATTCGTGTACAAGGACTATTCCATGAAGGAATGAATGTCCCTGTTCAGGTTGCTTTACTGGACAGACGATGGCTTACGTTTAGCAAAGCTTTAGTTGGCGGTTTTCACGTTAATTTAGCTTTGGGAGATGCCTATGGGACGGTTAAACCAGGATATATGGTAAGTCTTACCGATCCAAATCTTAAACGGATTATGGTTCTTCGAATTCATACTTCGGGATTAGAAGACTTAATGGCTTCTAGTGACGGAATAGCAATTCAATATAGGTTGATTTATCGGTTGATAAACTCTGTTAATCCTATACGAATGAACTCCAGTGCCGATACTAAGGTTCATGGCCCGGGACAGGATTCTGTAATTCCAATTCGGCCTACGATAGTCAATGGTAAGGCTCTTACGTGGCCGAAACGATGGGTTTTAGAATATTCAACGCAGCCCAGCGTGGTGGAATTAAACCCAGATTGGGGAATTCAAATCCAGGAACTTGATAATGAAGTTGAGTTTACTCTTCTTACGCCTAGAAACTCGGTGGCTCTAAAGCAGAATAAAGAGGTTCAATCTGTTCAACCTATCATATCAAGGAAAAATATATTGGAAACAGATGGCACTGCTAGTGAGGCTGGAAACAGCAGTAGCAGGAAGATTGTTGGGTATAAATCTGTGCAAATTCCAGTATATGAAGATGAAACTCCAAGCACGAAAATGATGATGAGTCATGAAATGCATTGTCATGCGATAGTTCAGGGGACTATTGACACATGCATACGTGCTAAATTGTGTTTTCCAAAATATGAGGAATATACTCTGGATATTCTTGTAGACACAGGAGCAACCAAATGTATTGCAAGGAAGCAATGTTTTCCACAGGAGCTTTGGAAATCATTGGAAAAACCAATCCTAAATACGGTTGCAGATGGAGGTCAAAGTATGATCACGGATGTGGTAGAGAACATGGTTGTACTATTAAACGAGAAGAAATTCACTCTAAGGGAAGTCTTAATAGTGGATTACTTGGAGGTAGATTTTATTCTCGGAAATAGCTTTCTGTGAGGTCAAGCAGAATTTAGGTCATTTACTCAGGATAACGACCACATTATCCTTGGAGGACATAAAATCCCTATTCTTGCTAAGCCTGAAGTTTTCAAAAATAAAAAACGGTTTTAGACCGGTGAAACTAAGGCAAGAAGTTGATCACATTGTTTTCCAGATTTTGAAAAATGATATATGGTGGTTGAAAACTTCTGATGCAGAAGAAGTGGATGAGGCTAGTAATGTTTTCTTTCAGAGATTGTATCCTAGTCATCATATAAACCGGATCGCATGGGATATATCGTAGGAGGTTGACCCCTCTGGTGCATGTCCTGAGAGCACAGATAAATTCATACATAAGGAAAAAATCTTGAAGATTGAAAACAAAAGCCAAGAGAACTCTTTAAGGATTGAGGAACTTGTAAAATCCTTTAAAGAGGAACTTTCTCCATGCTTTGATGATCAACCATTAAAGTTATGGGAAGGGAACAGTGTTTATGCTTCACTTGAATTAAAAAGGAAAGATGATAAGATTGTGACCAAATCTTTTCCTTATACTCCCGATGCAGAGGAGGAATTTAGTAAGCAAATACCGAAATTGCTGGAAAAACAATTGATACGTGCTAGCAAAAGTCCACACTCTTCATGGTCATGAATAGAGCTGAGCAATTAATAGGTAAAGCGTGGATGGTTATCGATTATAGGCAATTGAATGAGAAAACCATTGACGATGCCTATAAGATACCAAACAAATCGGCTTGTTTGAATAAAGCTAGATTTGAAAAAATCTTCTCCAAATTTGATCTAAAGTAAGGATTTTGGCTGATCAGGATGGCGGAGTCAAGCATTCCTTTGACGGCTTTCACCTGTCTGAAAGGATTGTTTGAATGGATGGTATTGCCATTTGGACTTAAGCAAGCACCATCAATATTCCAGAGGAAAATGGATGAAGTTTTTGGAGACTTATCCAACTTTTGTATGGTCTATGTTGATGATATTTTGGTTTTTAGTAAGACCAAGGAAGAACATGTAAATCATCTTAGACTGGTGAGCAAAAGGTTCCTTGATAATGGAATGATTCTATCTGAAAGAAAGATAGAATGGTTTAAGAACAAGGTGAAGTTCTTAGGCGTTGAGATAGGTGAAGGAGGTATCCAACTCCAAGAACATATCTCAAAGAAGTTGTTGGATTTTCCAGATATGATGGAGGATAAGCACATGTTACAGTAATTTCTTGGATTAGCCAATTACATGCGCGAGTATGTTCCTAATCTCGCTAATGTAATCAATGGCTTGACGCTTAAGGTTAGTGGCAAAGTGCCTTGGACTTGGACACTTGAAGACACTAATTGTGTTAAGCGGACCAAAGCCTTGACAAAGTAGTTAAAACCTTTAAAACTCCCAGAACATGAGGATAAACTCATTATAGAAAATGAGGGCTCCGTTTGGTTCACAATTTTGTGTTTTTGGGAAAAGTTTTTTGAAAAAAGTTAAAAAAAAAGTTGAATTGGGCGGGTATTACGATGTAGGATTTACAAATTGTAAAATACCCCCTATGTTTGTTTTTTTACAAAACACCCCTTATAATAAAACATTAAAAGTTAACAAAAACACCTCCAATCCACCCTTAAATA